CTGAAGGATCGATTGGGGATGGGGAATAATAGGGTCCAGGCGGATGCTGGGCTGGGTAACAGAGAGGAAGAGAGCCCTGGTGGGATCGTGCTGGTCAATCGGGCGGGAGAGAGTAAGAGTCCTTATGTGAGAGGACATGCGAGTAATCCTGTTGCGTGGCAGCTGTGGGGAGATGAGGCTATCGAGCTTGCGAAGAGGGAGAATAGGTTGTTGTTTGTTAGTATTGGATATAGTGCTTGTCATTGTAAGTTTCTTCTTCCGCGCGACACTTCTCTTACTTCGTCTCCTTTTTATCACAATTTACGCAGGCTTTGTAATGTTGGTATGCTAAGTGGTTCTCAACAGGGTGCCATGTCATGGAACGAGAATCGTTTGAGAATGAAGAAGTCGCTGCTATCCTGAACAATGAGTTCGTCCCAATCAAGATTGATCGCGAAGAGCGACCCGATATCGACCGCATATACATGAACTTTGTGCAGGCTACTACAGGTTCTGGCGGCTGGCCTCTGAATGTCTTCGTGACGCCTGATCTGGAGCCAGTATTTGGTGGGACATACTGGCCCGGTCCAACGAGCCATACCACTTCTTATGATACCCACGTTGACTTTCTGGGTATCCTGAATAAGCTTTCGACAGTGTGGAAAGAGCAGGAGGAACGGTGTCGGCAGGATTCGAAGTTGATTCTCCAGCAGCTCAAGGATTTCGCTGCCGAGGGCACATATAGCGGGAAGGGCGAGGCAAGTGAAGATGGACTTGATCTAGAGTTATTGGAAGAAGCCTATCAGAACTTCGCCAATACCTATGACCATACTTCTGGTGGCTTTGGTAGCGCTCCTAAGTTTCCCACACCGAGTAAGCTGGCGTTCTTGCTTCGTTTAGGACAGTATCCACAAGCTGTCCTGGATGTGGTAGGACAGGCCGAGTGCACCAATGGAGAAATAATGGCTATTACAACATTGAAGAAGATGGCAAGAGGTGGGATTCATGATCACATCGGCAATGGGTTTGCCAGGTACTCAGTCACTGCTGATTGGTCTCTTCCACATTTCGAGAAGATGTTGTACGATAATGCGCAACTCTTACATGTATACTTGGATGGATTTCTTCTTTCTCGCGACCCCGAATTACTAGGGACCGTTTATGACATTGCAGCTTATCTCACCAAAACCCTGGCCAGTCCAGAAGGTGGCTTCTACTCCAGTGAAGATGCCGATAGTTTCTATAGGAGAGGAGACACCGAGAAGCGTGAAGGTGCATTCTATGTCTGGTCGAAGAGGGAGTTTCAGAATGTCCTTGGATCACAGATTGAACCAATCTTGTCCGCTTTCTACAACGTTTCTAGTCATGGTAATGTCAGCCCTGAGAATGATCCTCACGACGAGTTCATCGATCAGAATGTTTTGGCTATAGTTTCTACCCCACTTGCATTATCGAAACAATTCGGTATGAAAGAGGAAGAAGTTGTAAGGATTATTAAGGAAGGTAAAGTAAAATTAAGAGCGCATCGAGGTAAAGAGCGAGTGAGACCTGGATTGGATGATAAGGTTGTTGTGAGTTGGAATGGAATTGCCATTGGAGCGTTGGCAAGAACAGCTGCTGTCATTCGCGGTTTTGATCCTATTAAATCAGAGGCATACATGACATCTGCTTTAAATGCGGCTAGGTTCATCAAGGAGAAGTTATATGATAGCAGCTCGAAAATCCTGTATCGAGTATGGAGAGAAGGCAGAGGAGATACACAGGCTTTCACTGACGATTACGCTTATCTCATTGATGGTTTAATTGATCTCTATGAAGCTACCTTTGATGAACGATGGCTACAATGGGCAGACGAACTCCAACGTGAGTCTAACTTTCTTTAAACGCTATACCTTCGCTATATGTGCTAACACAACAGCCTAGAAACTCAAATATCACAATTCTACGACACCGATGGCGCAGGCGGCTTCTTCTCAACCTCATTGAACGCACCTCATGTCATTCTTCGTCTCAAAGATGGCATGGACTCCGCCGAGCCTTCTACGAATGGTGTCAGTGCATCGAATCTCTATCGTCTTTCCAGTGTCCTCAACGACGAATCTTACGCTCAGAAAGCCAAAGAAACAGTCCAGAGCTTCGAGTCGGAAATACTACAATATCCATGGTTATTCACGTCCTTTATGCCCAGCATTGTCGCCAGCCAACTAGGTATCAGGAGCGTCGTTGTAGCTCCTAGCGCTTCTGCAGCAGAAGGAGGCGACACAGATGGCACTCTGAAGGTAGAGGAATTTTCCAAGGCTCCTCGAGGGGGGCTATCTACATTTGCTCGGATTGAAAGTAAAGCGCAATCATGGCTCCGGAAGCGGAACTCACTTCTTAAAGACTTCGGTCCGGGCCCTAATAACAAAACGCGGGTTATGATCTGCGAGAACGGCACCTGTAGACTCGAGGGTGAAGAAGACATTTTTAATACTTCGGCTACCGGTGCATCTGGTGTCCAAAGTAAGAGTGCCGATATCTTGGATACAACGCGGACGGAGAAGGACCCAATAGGACTTCGGGGACTGCAAGATGCGCTGCCAGATTTGGGCAGCCTGAGAGCTGAGGAAGGGGCCCTAGTTGTGAAGGAAACTGGCATGGTTGATATTCAGAAGGAAACGGTCCCGGATATCGGAGCTAGCATTGGGCAAAAGGGGGGGAAGAAGCCGTAATATGGAGATATATAGGGAGGCGATCTACTTTTACGATATGTTATTATCTTGATGCATCTTATTGGGGGCTTTTTGGCATGCATGGCTTAATATTAGCTGTAGCGTCTCTTTGAATTTCTAAACAGGTTGGGTAAGGGTTACATTGAAAGGATCCTCATAACGTACAAGAATACCTATTGCTTTACTGTGCTCTTTATGAATTACCGCCAATATATAGACTATCCCGTAACCCCTATCACTGGCCAACTTTATTCTAGCCTAACCAAACCATGTCCATAAGTATGCTTTTATCCCATCCAACACCATATTACACTATATACACGTTCTCTTGCCGCCTAGTCTTCAGTCCTTTTTCTTAGCATCCCCAATGCTCTTTCCCTTGGCCGCACCAGGCGTCTTCAGCCCGAAAAATACAATCAGCGACGTTCCCAAGACTCCTGTGGCCCCAAGAGTATACGCAACTTCTCTTCCCGCCCACCAGTAAACACTCGTGAACAATAATGGACCCACTCCACGTCCAATCTGTCCCCAACTCCTTAGATTTCCCAATTTACCTCCTCTCTCTGCCTCTCCTGCCTCGAAGCTGCTCAAGGCATTCAGTCCGGTTACTACTGTGGCTGTTGTAATGGCCAAAAGTGTCGCTGAGAGGTATAATCCGCCCACGGTGTTGATGCGTGCGAGGAGGAAAAGTGCCAATAGACAAGATACAACACCGATACGGACTGATAAGAGGGGAGGCAGGCGGCGCGTAACTCCACCTTGCATCAAAGAGGCGATCAATCCAATATAGCCCAAAAGACGTCCGTTACGTGCGGAAGTGTACTTGAAAAGGTCATAGGTCATGAATGGCAGGGAAAATTCCATGCCGCTAAAGAATAAGATGAAGCTGAAATGAGTAAGATTTAACAAAAAGTGTGAGTTTGTGCGTTGGAATGGCTGTGATTCGGCGGTCTTGCTGGATGCGGGCTTCGTATCATTGACTGTGCTTTTGCTGGGTAAGGTCTCTGGTAAACATAGATAGAGATACACGGTCTCCGCCACAATCAATGCCAGGCTCACTCCTGCTGCTGTAGCAAACGGATTCGCCTGCACCGATTGAATAGAGCTTAACCATGCACCCAAGGCTGGTCCAAAGGTAAAGCTTATGCTGAAGCAAGCTCCTACAAGAGCCATCGTAGCTCCCCGCTGCTTCTCGTCGGATATATCCGTCGCTATTGCCGTCGCGAGTTGGACGTTTCCCTCAGATAGCCCGCCAACAATACGGGATAGAAGAAAGGTGCGGAAATCAGTTGCGCAAACCCAGAGCAGGACGCTGAGAATATTTCCGCACATACTGCATAGGAGCGCTGTGCGCCGGCCATACTTATCGGAGAGGGTGCCAATTACTGGGGAAGCGATGGCTTGAAGGAGACTGCCGAGCAAGAATAAAGTATTAGATGTGCACAGCTCTTAAAAACCGATCTTGCAATTATTGATGAAGTACTCACGAGAATAGACTTCCTAATGCGCCTCCTAAGAGAACAATATCATAGCGTGAATCTATTGGTCTTGCAAACGAAGCTTTGTATGTGTTGAGGTAGGAGAGAATATGAGCGAGGAGGGTAGGCGATTGTGTCTTAGAGGAAGAGGAGACCTCTAGGTTACGATAGAACTCGAGAAGCTTTGGGAAGAGGGGAAGGATGAAGGTGAAGGATATCTACCCAGGGTCGTCAACAATGAGAAGCTCTCCCTTATTCGCTATCTGGGTGCTTACCAGGTCAAGCAGAAGTGACACGAATACTACTCGAAGCACTTTCTTTCGAGAAGCAGGATCAATTGTTGGAGCCATTATAGTTTTACTGTTCCCTCTTTGAAATTCAGAAGGCAGGTACAGTAGAGAGAAAGTTAGTACCAGAGAAGGAGTGTTCAAAGAATAGATCTACACCATCCGAAACCCACACCAGATCCAGCTGACGGATGACGAACAATAGATGGGAAAGTGCACTGCAACAAAATGAGAACGTCAACGCTTGCACGTCTTAGGATGAAGTGAGTGTGAATTGCGCAATAAGAAAGCGAAGAAAGATACGGCACACAAGAAGCTTTTAAAACGGGAAAACAAGATCGAGAAGTTGTGGCATATGTTTCCAAAACACGATGCACGAACGGTAACAGTAACGGCTGGAAACACCCTGGCGAACCCCCGAGCCTCCCAAGGTCGCGGGGTCCATTCCAAAAATATCAGCCTTGCACGCCTTGCAGCAGTTGGCTCAGGGGAAGCGGACCGGGGCATAGATTGATAATGACAAATAACGCTCGGCACTGACAACAGCCCTGTTAGCTCAATTGGCAGAGCGTGGGACTTTTAGGCCATAACATGGCTATCCCAAGGTTGTGGGTTCGAGACCCACATAGGGCGCTGTTATTTTTTCTTTGTTATTCCTTTTTGATGCTACTCTGCTCATATTATTTACAAGATGTTTGATTGGGTTTCGTACATTTTCTTTGTACATTTTGGCTCTTATTGTGAACCTGGAGTAAGCGAAATGGCGTTGCCTGTGCAGAATAAATAACCATGCGAAATATGGCGAAGATTTACCCCGGTTAATTTTGGTTGGTGATACTGTACCATTTTGATCATTTGAGGAATAAGAGCATTCAGATCCTCATATGAGAATTTGTCACGATTATTGTACTTTTGCACTACACCTGTACAGTATGGATTTAAACAAAACCCATGAGAATGCGCACATAACTCTCGGCGTCGGAAGATGCTAGGTCCGTTGCATGTCTAGAACTCTACGCTCTGCGCTATAATCCTCGGCGTCGGGCATCTAGCATCCGACTTTATCCTTATGTATACAGTCTACTTTATGTTGCGTATCTCGCTGCCATAAACCGACACTATAATGCTCGGCGTGCAGATTAGGCCCTCAGTACGTTATCGTTGCATGTCTGTATGAAGAAATCACTCTATTGAAGGTGTGTCTAGCATGTCTCTTTAAGATTATTCCCTGAGTCAAACATGTACTCTTCCTAGTAGCACTTGTTTCCAAGCAGACATTGATAGCATAAGAAAGTAGATATGAGTTCCCATCTTTCTTTACTCAAGCTGGAATCATTCCCACTTTACACCCATTTCTCGATGAGAGAGTCAAACTAAGCATAGGAACAAAGGGTCCATCATCTCTAGGCTCAACTGCTTTGAAATGCTGGAGCAATCGGATAATGGTCAAAGAGGCTTCAGTGAGAGCCAGCTGCTGGCCGAGACAAATACGTGGTCCGCCATTGAATGGTAAGTACTCCCAGCTGTATAAACATGTCTTTTAGTATCTGGAAACATGAAGCGCCAGAAAGAGGTTTGACTCACCCTGGCCTGAGGCTGTCCCATCTCTCCGGTTTGAACTTATCTGCATCCTCACCATATAGATCTTTCCGACGATGCATTGTATATACGAAGTAACTAATATACTGGCCCTTCTTCACAAGAAATGGAGATTTTCCATCGGGCCCTCCTCCTACTGGGAGGACTGTATCACGTATGGCAATCCGACCATTGGAAGGGACAATGGGCCAGAGACGAAGTGCTACGGATTCCTCAGTATGGCAGCTAGATACAAGATAGGGGGCATAACTCACTTTCATTCAAGCAAGCCTTGAGATACCTCATGCTTTTGATCCTTTCAAACGATAGTCTGGTATCCTCCAACTCCATAATTTCTCTTCTAAGTTTTGCAAAGACCCGAGGTTGGCGGGCAAGGTTATGGAAGAAAACACTCAGGAGGCCGGCGGTTGTGTCTCTTCCGGCGAGCAATATATTCAAGGCCTCATCTTGTAGCTTCTGCGGACCAACCTTCGACTTTACCAGCTCATTTAAAAAGACGTACCGTGAATGGTGATAGTCCCCAGCTGGGGAGGATTTGACAGATTCGATGGCCATCTTCACATATTTCTGAACATAGGCATGAATCAGTTTGAGGGACTCTTTATCACGCTTATTCATCAGGCAGTTCATCCATTTGCCTCCTCTCATCACAGTTGCCATTCTTGCTATGTGGTATGTGAACGCTTCACCAAACCTTCTTCCACTCTCAGAATCCCGGCTGGATGACCCTAAAACATTTGTGCTATGGCCGAAGAGAAATTCTGTGGCGGAGTCTAGAGTCATATTGAAGAAGAGAGGCTGTAGATCCACGGTGGAACCATCCTTGGGAATATGAGATATCAACATTGAAATGTGCCTATCAAAAGCCTCCAAGTCGCCTACTTGATCTCTAACAAAGTTTGGGCGAAGCATTGCCCTCGACGTTTCCCATTCTTTGCCATCGGTACTGAATATTCCATGACCGATGACCGGATGCATTGCACCCTTCCGGAGTTTAGACTGCTCCCAATCTTTGAAATTGGTTGCTAGGACGGTTTTGATATTTTCAGGCTCGTTTGTAGTGATTCTACTATCGGCCCAGAAGCTCCATTGATACGTATTGAAACCGGAATCTGTGAAACGCTGACTGAGAAGTTCGAGGTACTTTCCTTCTCTGGCAGCCTTCAAATTCTCTCGAATGATATCCGTTCCAAATATTGGATCCTTGCAAGGTAGTGCCTTGAGTGGTTTGCATCCATTCTTACGAATCAAAAGCGAACGCCTACGGTAGGTAATGCCAAAGTGAACACTATAATAGAGAAGATATAGAGCACCAGCGATGATGACAACTATGAATGAAGGAGGTGCTGAATAAAGTGAAGATATTTTCAAACCCATTCTAAGTTAAGCTTTATTGGATAGCTAGGCTGAGGCTCTCGAGAAATAAGATTAGGGCAGTGAGAGCCATTTCTATTCTTTCAAATAGAGGGGGAGGGGTAATGATAAATAGAGCAGGTGGGCTCTATTATTCAAGAGCCTGCAATTGAAGACCAACAAAAAAGGCGGGAAGAGGTGAGGGGGCCAAGGGTAGCCAGGATAAAGATTGGCCAGTAGGTCAAGACTCATAGACTAAGCATTGCTAATTGGGAGCAATTGAAGGCGGATAGTACGGAGGTAAGCATCGGTACACTTATACATGATAGCGTAGCCCAGTAGAGACGAGCGCTGGCCATCTTTGGTTACGTGGAAATATATGCGTTAGAAGACTTGAGAATGCGGTGCTCCGCGGGACAGGCATGGTTAGACCGCGGGGGAAGCAACCTGGTAGCATGTGTCAGACAACTCCTCCATTCACCAATTGTCGCTCACGGTAATGTGTATTGCTTGCAAACTACTTAGATAGATTGGGACTATAATGCGAATTCCATAGATCTTAGCAGGAAGCGTTACCATCCATGTGATGGTATGTATGTTGGCCTTAGTTTTGTCGAATTCCGATACTATGTATCGACTGCTAGTAGTAACTAAATCTCTTGATATCCCATATTAGTCAGCGTCAGATATGTAATATCTATTTGGGAAGTAAATACGAATGTCGATCGTATCTTTTCCAAGATGCGGTACACAATTGCACGCTCCGTCATGGAGCATAAGGGCAGTCTTTAGTCAGTCTCCCACATCCGTCCACTTCTGATAACATTTAGACTGGGCCGAGTTAAAGAAAAGAAAAGCCAACGCGTGCCGAACTTCTCAGACAGACAGAGAGAATAAGTGTGAAAGGTGACAATGGCCTCAAGTTTTTCACGATTGTGGGTTGCTCTGCCTGGACGGGCCTTTCAACAATATTGCAAATGAAGTACTCTGCTCACTTTAGTATTGCATAAAAATGAAGCAAGCTCCTGATTCTGGTATTTACATTGAGGTTGTCTGGTCCATGTTTGCTACCTCTCTAACTATACAAGTATTTAAGCAGCAGACTGCTATGCTCGAACATTTCGTCACTGACTCCTCTAGGGGAGCGGGATATCTTTTGTCTGCTAAGTGCTTAGTTACAGGACCGACCAAAGGAACTCTAAGTAGCTATAAGGCAGCATAGCAAGTAACAGATATATTCTTTGATATTCTTTTAATTTCATAACCAGCAAAACCAAGACACCTATCTACCTACCTAATCTGCACTCGTGAGATGGTTGCCCATCTTTCCTCACCTCTTCAGGGTCATCTGGAAGCGCTTATCCCCATAGAAACAAAAGATATTAGCCCCCAGATAGGCATTAGCTCATTTCAGAACGCCAGGAATGCACGCACTTAGATAACCGACTGTCCAAAATCTCTATACCCATCCTAATCCGAATCCTTATCATGAAGACCCTTAGGCTGCGCCATTGACGACCACGCCTGGGACTTGTCCTTCCGCCTGAGCCGCGGCTGCTGCAGCCGCTGCATTCGCTTCGGCTTGATGTACTACACCTTGGACAATACTCTGCTCCTCAGGGTTCAAGTTTGTGGTAAGAGATTCGTAGAGTTGAGGTTGTTCTTGTTGGAGTTCTAATTCTCATTAGTTTGCGAGCTTTAATAGTGTCCGGGAAACTCACTCATGAGGGCGTTTCGGAAGAGCTGATAAGGTTCAAGTTTATCCAGAGCTGTCTCCAGGAGACTCTCCTCGCCCATCTCATCATCAGAGATATCTTCAAGGTTACCAAACTTTTGGGCCTATACATTGTTAGTTGCGGTGGAATTCTGAAAGGTATTTTATATTACCTCATCGTTTAGGAATTCAAGGTAGGCGCTACTCTCATCTTTTCCATCGGCCTCATCGTCAGCTTCGGCTTCATCATTCCATTCATTATCATCGCCGCCCCATTCATCCTCATCATCGTCATCATAAGCACCGACTTCATGTTGGAAGTCATCTCTCAGAGCATCCTCACGATCTGGAAATGAATTAGCAAAGACCATTATCTAAATAATGGAACGCTATAGCTTACGCTTTGTTGCAGCTGGTAGTGTCTGGAATAGACGAACAATGCCCTATATATTCTGTTAACCATAATGAAGCTATCAATGGCAGACGGTTCATCATACCTGCAAAAGTCTTGGCCAACCCTGCTGGACGCTGACAGGCACCTGATCAGCATTAAGAGTGAGCAAAGCAACAATAGCGGCAATGCACAATTTCTTGTCGTGCACTCTCGTAAAGCTGTCAATACTCGAGAACCACAAACTGAAGAATTTATTGGTCCATCCTTTTGACTCTAGTAATTGCAACGATAATATCTGTAGTAATTGGACGTTAGTATTGTTGCTTGAAGTCAAATTAGCTGAAGCTCTTACTGGATTATAGTAGATAGCATTGATCACCATTTCCATTAGGTGAATCTTATAAGACTTGACCTTAACTTCCTGGTTTGTTAGGATTTGCATAGCCATCTCAATCTACTTTATCTCAGTGCATGACTCCAATGGGGCAGATTATTGAACTTACAAATCCAAGGACATATTGATCAGCATGACCCCTCATAGTAAGCATGATAGTCTCAGCTAGCTTGCATGCA